CCCCTCTCTCTCTCTCTCTCTCTCTCTCTCTCTCTCTCTCTCTCTCTCTCTCTCTCTCTTCTCCTCCCATTTATTCTCTCTCTTCCTCTCTCTTCTCCTCCCATTTATTCTCTCTCTTCCTCTCTCTTTTCTCCTCGCGCCTTTCTTCTCTTTATTTTTTCTCCTGTCTTTTTTTTTTATCTATCAATATCACAATTTTGAAAATCGATTCAAACCGGTCAATCGGACTAGTTCAACTAGATACCGATCATTAATGGATTCAATTGGCCTATAGAATCATTTTACATTGAATTGGTATACAATTAACAAAATAAGTCTAGAATCAATAAAAAAAATTTCTCTATCTGGTTTGAACTAGTCCAATTTAATTTTTTTTATTATTTAAAATTTAATTTTTAATTTCTTTTAATAAAAAATTATAAATTAGAATAACTTATTTTTACTACTTATTTCATAAATTATAATAATTAGAAAGAGGTGATGAGAAAGATATTTGTTAAGTGATAAAATATTGATGTGTTTGAGATATGTGTGTATATGTAATATGAGATATTCAAGCCATGATGCAAGATAAGTCTAAGCAATGACTTACTAGTGTGAACTCCAAGTCATGCTTGGTCTATTTTGAAGTATGGACATAGAGGTCAACTAGGGTGAAAGTTTAGGCTTGCCTAACAACCTAATAAAGTGCAATTATATATGATGAGTGCAATATGCATTTTGTGTGTTTATAGATTGTATTTGGAGTCATGCGTTCATGCATAATTTGTTTGAAGGTGCATTGTGAGTCTATGTGGGAGTCCATGATCTTTTACCTTGGCTTCAAGGGTGTTATGTGAGAAACCTCTATTGTGGAACAATAGGCGACTATGGTCGGCTATGATACCCCGACTGACTCTTGATAGATTTTTTTTAGTGAGTGGACCGAGTGTTGATTACCCATTGTGCAAAAGTCATTTTTCTTGACCATGTACTCTAGACAACTTCATTTATGTGCACCTTGTGCGAAATGTGATTGGTACATGCATATAGATATTAGAGCATAAGTCCACATGGGTCCCCTTTTTTCTTGAGGTGTGTATGCTTAAGAGCTTGAGTTATTGTTGTATGTGTTTAGATGTTATCTATATTTTTTGTATGTGCTTATATATGTGTGAGATGTATTCTTATTCCTCTTTGTTACATTGTTTTTCTTTCTTGAGTTGAACGTCACTTTCAGTTGCGGATTAAGTAGATGACTTTGACTTTACTAGAGACGATCCTTAAGTGCTTTGATTTTATAATTTGATATACCGCTTGGAATAGTGTGATCAAGGTTTAGTATACTAGTTTATTTTCCTTTGTTTATGTTTTATGTAACACCTAAATTTTTCTAAAATTATTAAAAAATATATTTTTAATTAATTAAATGGGCTTTATAAATATATTAGAGGTTTTTAATAATTATGTTTTTATTTAATTAATCAAGGGAGATTTGCAAAATTACATTAATTTTGGCTAAATTGCAATTTTTGACCCTTCATTTTTTGACAATACACAATTTTGGTTTCTCTATTTTAAAACAGAGAAATTTAGTCATTCTATTTTTAAAAATATGAAACTTTTGACCTACCATCTATTTGATGTTCATTGATTATTAAATCTTGATGTTTTTTTTTGGTGATGTGTCACAATTTAAGTAACATAATATTTAGTGATGTGATATGTAGGAATAAAAATTTAAAAACAACATACAAAACATCCTCATTTGCATTTATTTTAACAAGTAATTGATATTTATTTTATTAATAAATCTTATTTGTATATTATTTTTTGCAAATGTCATGTTACTAGATGTCACATCACTTAAATATGCATAAATATTAAAACTTAACAATTAATAGATGTCAATTTGACATGAGGGTTGAAATTTCATATTTTTAAAATTAGAAGGATTGAATGTCTTTATTTTAAAATAAAGAAACTAAAATTGTGAATTGTCAAAAATATAGAGGCCAAAAAAGAAATTTAGCCTAGAGATATATGTATTTTGTTTTACTTGTTTTTTTTTATGTACTTAGAGGTTATTATAATTAATTATGTTTTATTTATATTAAGAAATAAGATTTTTGGTTTTAAAATGAAAACTTTTATATGCAGGGTCAATTTTTATGCTCTTATATTTTTACATTTCTCTCTTCTATTTGCACCTGAATAACCTAGAGAGTCAAGAGCCATAGGAGATCGTCCAGTAATTAAGCAACCTCCGCCTGACATTCATTGAGGTTAAGGGAAAGTGAATACTCCCGCTTTGGAGTGTGAGATATTTGTTATGTAACGAATTAGACCCCCAATTTCGTCATGTGTTCTTATATGTTTTGTGGGAAAAATCCCAATTTTCATTTGTATCTTGTAAATCTATGTTCTCTGTGATTCATATTACTTTGTGAATATTAATTGTTTTATATGTGTAAATAATTGCACTTGAATTGAATTATTTGTGAATTTATGAGTGCGTGTAGTTTTTATAGCAAACCCTTGATTTATAATGCAAAGTGAAGATTAATATTAATTGTGTGAATATGTAAAATTAATAGTATAATATAGTAGATTTAGGCTTTAATTGATGTTTTCGTTGATTGGAGTGAGTGACATGTGAGAAGTGTCAAACTTGTGCGATTTTTGCACTTCCCCAAGAACCGGTGTTGCGTTGGTGCATATTTATGGCGTTAGACATGATAATTTGCAGTGATCTTTTGTTCCATTTGTGTCGAGCGCCAAATAGGTCTTGTTCAGTGTTATTTAACACCATTTTTGCATAAGATTTTTTTAGGCTCTAATTTTTGGGAGCTAGGCGTGATAAAGTTAGAATTAGATTTTATGGCCTTCATAAGAGTTGTAGCCTTGGATGTTAGATTTTCGATGGCATTAGAATCACTCAAAATGGAAGTCTAATCTACTCGCAAAATCAATTTGATTGAGTGATCTTACAATATCTTTAATATGTGCCTTACATTAATTTGATCAAAACATATTCAAGTCACTTCTATGCTTTTAAGAAAAATGTCTTAAACAATATTGAAAGGTTTTAACTCTTTTTCATGGGTGAAAAGGTAATAATTTTTAATAAAATACCTTTTGAAAGATGATAGATCCTTTGAACAAAGGGGGAGATTTTAAAAATCTTTTCATTTTACCAAAGCAAAATACTTTTCAAGAATAAAGAAAAAAAAATTTCAAAAATATAAAAATGTGTTTGTCACCATCAAAAAGACAGAGATTGTTAAGTCAAAAAATGATCTACATCCCTTAAACTCAGTTTTAATGCTAACAAACAAAATTTTTTTATAAAGAAGAAATGTCTGCTAAAATGTCTTCAAACATATATCTGAAAAGCTTATCAGATGAAATGTAAGACACAGATCATCTATAAGACATTGTAAATCAGACGAAACATACAGTTTGTCTCATAAATATAAATATTTATTATTGATTGAGACTAACAACAAAGTTTTTTTTGAATGTTTCATTCCTTAAAAAATCAAATTAAAAAGCAGTCTTGGAACTCACAAATTTGTTAAAGGGAAGAGCCTTGCTTTTCGTCAAAAAAAAAAATTCCCTTAAATCATGGAGAAATGTAGTTAAAGTCACTACTACAATTGCTTTGCACTGACATTGCTTCTACAAGCTCCATTTGGTATGAAAAGTTGATAAATAACCTCCTTGATCTGATAAGAGGTACCATTAAATGAGCCAAACGATCACCTACCACCACAAGGAAAGACAATGAAAATAAAAGAAGCAAACTTGTGAGTTAAACTCAAAGTTTTGCAACAACCATATTTTACGAGCTACAATATAAGAGGATTCAAAGCACAAGAAAAAAAAGGAGACACCAATTCTAAGTGATACATATACATTTGTATAACTCTCTCTCTAAATCTATTCTTTCTTGTAAGCACTCATATTGCTTTGAATTAGTTGTATAACGTCTATGTGAGAAGAAAATAACACTTGTGTAACCTTGTTATAAGGTTGAGCCTGAAAAGAATTGTCTAAAAAAGAATACTTGTTTTGAGCCTAGAGAGAGGTTTATCTGAAAAAGAATACTTGTTTTAAGCATAGAGAGGCT